GTGAGAGTAGTATTTTCCAATGAACTTGGTGTACACTTGCTCCCAAGTAATGAGGAAGTCGGGAGCAAGTGCCATAAACCAAGCTTTGGCCCGGTCTTTGAGTGTCTCTGGGAAACATCTCATCTTCAACTGGTCCTCGTTTAAGCCATGGAGAGGAAAGGTCTGGAGGACGTTATAGAACTCCCGAATAAAATGGAGTGGGTCCTCGTTGGGTAGACCATGGAAAGATGGCAGCTGATTGTAGTGGATGGTTTTTAGCTCATAGTTTCGAGCTGCTTGTCCCAGCCGGATACACGAAGTTACTGGCCCGATTATCGGTTGAGCCAACTCACAAAGAAGATGACGAGGTAGGTTGTTCACTTCCTCGTCAGCCATGTCTCTTTGGTTATCTGAGTCTCGGTTGGCTGAGTCTGAAGATTCAGGAGCAAGGTTAGCCAACAGTTCTTGGAGGTCCCTCTGGATGGATTCGTTATTCGGAATGATAATAAGACCACTTCTGGTACGCATAAACAAAAACAACAAAAACGTCACGGGCACCAGATAGATAGGAAAGAGACAAAGAAAAACAAAACAAGAAAAACACTAGAACTAATCAAGATAAACGAAACAAAGAGAAACACACAAAACAAGAAATCACAAAAATAAGAGAAACACTGAAAACAAAATGAATAGGCGCACAAAATAAGTCCTAAACCTTCCCCGGCAACGGCACCATTTTGTTGTAATAATTTTTACCGGAGTAGAATCGAAAGATTCGAACACCGGGTCGTATCTCAAGGAAGGTCAGCCGGATTACTTTGTACGAATATTCAATCACAAAAAAAAAAAAAGAAATTAAATCCTAAACACTCTAATCAGATTGATTTGGTTCAATTTTTCTACTACGTATTATAAAGATAATCCTAACTATTCAAATCTCACAACTCCGAGCACAAATTCAAGTAGTAATAAAGAGGCTAGGGTATCGGGGATAATCGCTTCCGGTTCTCAAAACATTTAATGGGCAATCAATTACTCGGCCGAAGGACTCGAAAAACTAACCATTTAGAGATTCATTCTCAATATCTCACGAAACAAGAGAATAAATATAAACGAGCAATTATCGAACCAATCAGCAGATAGACAATACGTCACCGAACAAGCCTATTCTAAATGAGCCTAGATCGATCGATTTCTCCCCTTTCGGTTTTGAAATCAATTAATTAGATTGAGATGGTGATCAAGCATCTAAACCCAAGGTTAAGCACAACTCGAAAAGATTGAGTAATTATCAAACATGTAAACGAGATCGAACCGGAACGACAATCCCCTAACCCTAGCTAGGAAATTTAGCTACTCATAGTGATTCCAACACAAACATTCATATCAAACAAAGCCATAACATCCATCAATGAAATGAAAAAGCAAGCTTACGATAAATACGAATCCAATGTTGAAAGAAACACGAGCAATCCAAATCCAAAAGCTTAATCTTGGTGTTTTCACAATCCAAGATCAAATCCTAATCAAACTAAGAGAAAAATCTGTTCTGGAGTGAAAAATAATGCCAAAGGTTCAAAACCTAGGTGAAAAGACAATGAAAAATTGAACAAAATCGCAAAATAAAAAACTGCCCGTCGCGACCCCCGCGGCCGCGGCGAAGAAAATCTCGCGGCCGCGACTATCTCCGAGGCCGCGAGCTCGACGGGCCAGAAAATCGAATTTTTTGGACATCTCGCGGCCGCGACTTCTCCTCTTCCGCGGCCGCGGCGAACGTTTTCTGCACGGCAAATTTTTGGGTTCGTGTTCTCGCATCCGGATTCAGAATTTAATCCCGTCTTCTTCAATACGACCCCAACTCATCCATCTAGACGATAAACCTCGCATGGCCATGCACCGAGCCACCAAATCTGCACATCACCACCGACAAGAAACACGGAAAATCGGGAAAAACGAACAAAAAGACCAACAAACGACTAAAACAAAGGAAATGCACGAAACGACTCAAAACGGACCAAAAACCAAAGAAAAATACCTAAGGAGGGGAAAAACAAGCATAAAATAAGGAAGAAAAACATGACAAAAGTGGAACGAACAGTCAGTCTTTTTTTGACAACCTCAATAATATAAGCAAATGTCTCTTTCTTGGATTTCTCAATCCCTAGAGGAAGTCCAAGGTACCTAGTAAAATTGTGAGCCTCAATACCCTCCAGTAAATTACAGAGTGTTGTCTTCAGTTAGAGGGGAGTGTTTCTGCTGAAAAGGGCAGTTGACTTAGACAAATTTACCTTCTTCCCTGAAAATCCCTAGTAGGTTTTTAAAATATTCACCAGAACCGTGACTTGATGTACCTTAGCTTTGCAGAAAATTAGGGTGTCATCTGCAAATAGCAGATGGGTGAGAGTTGGCCTACCTCTGGCAATTCTTAGCCATTTGAAATCCCCTCTGCCAGCAGCTCCCCTTATAAGTGATGAAAAGACTTCAGAGACAATAAAAAATAGATAGGGGAAAATGGGATCCCCTGTCTTAATCCTCTTGAAGGAGACAAGTATCCCACTGGCTTACCATTAACCAAAAAAGAGAAAGTAGGTGAGGAGATGCAAGCATACACCCACTTGACAAAAACAACATCAAATCCCAATCTCAACATGGTTTTACACACACTTCCCCATTGAATGGGAGAGGTTTTACACACACTTCTCCATTCAACTCTGTCATTGGCTTTAAGCATGTCCAACTTAAGAGCCATAAAACAATTTTTCCCATATCTATGCCTATTTAAGAAGTGAAAACTTTCTTGGGCTACCATCACATTGTCAAGCAGCTGGATTTGAGTAAAAGAAGTAACTGCTTAAATGTAATATTTTTAGAAAACCTGTATCCAAGAATACTCTTATATAATCCTATCATAAATACTTACGAGACCTATTATTTTAACTAGTATTTGATCTTGTGCATTTGCACAACTATGAATAAAGTATAATAAATTATTTGTATGCATATAAGATTAAAATTATAAGTTAGATATTGATATTATATTTTAAATATAGAGTATTATAAGTTATATTTATGAATATAATATTAAAATTATAAATTAGATAAATATATTATGTTTCAAAATTCGATCAATGGTTGAAATAAATAGTACATAACGATTTGATTGCATATGAATCACTATATTGATAATTTGGTTGCAAAAAATATAATAAATTTTTTTTGTAATTTTGGGGGTCATGACCAATTAATGAGCTAAATATATTAAATTTATTATAACAATTGATTATATGATTTTAATAAATTTTACTTTGACATTAAAACAAATTAATTTATTTAAAAACAATCGCTGAATCAGATAAAAAAATATAATAGTGATTTTAAAATAAATAACTTGAATAAATGTTTTTACAATATAATTTTTTATGTTTATGTTACTTTCGTATATCATTTAGGGTAAAATATAATTATTAATTTTAATAATAACTATTATATGATAAAATAAAAAAAATATATATTAAATTATAACGGTTATTATAATATGAACATACCATGTAGGTAGAATTTATTAGATTTTATTTAATAATTAGCTGGCTATATATAGATTGTGAATTTGAGATACGGGTCACGACACGACCTTTCGATTCGTTAAACCCAAGGTTTTGAAAACCGGACCGGAACAGCCGGTTGAACCGATTGGACCAGGAACCGGCCTTCATTCCGGTCCGGTTTGCCATATCAAACCGCCTAACATTTGAACCGGTCGAAAACCGTTCGAACCGGTTTAAAACCAGTGAACCAGAACCGGTTCAAATGGTTAACGGGTTCAAGCTTTGAATTTGAAACGTGTTGATTGGGAAGTGGTTCAAATAGCACACCTTTTTTACTTGTATTTTCAATGTGGGATATGTTCTCGTGCTAAAATTATTGGACCAATATTGAGCCTTACAAGCAACTAGTATTCGACCTTGTGCATTTGCACAGATGTAATTAAAATTAAATATTATAAGTTGTATTTATGTATATAATATAAAAATTATAAGTTATATAATTGTATTATATTTCAAACATGTAGTAATATAAGTTATATTTATGTATATAATATTAAAATTATAAATTATATAATAGTATTATATTTTAAAATTTGATCATTGGTTAAAATAAATAGTACACACGATTTGATTGTATACGAATCACTATATTGATTGCATAAAATGCAATAAATATATACTTTTTATAATTTTGAGTGATCATGACCAGTTAATTAGCTGAAAAATATTACATTTATTATAACAATTGCTAATGTGATTTTAAGAAATTTTACTATGACATAGAAAAAATTAATTTATTAATAAACAACATTTTCATCATATAAAAAAATATTGATTTTAGTGTAAAATATAATTTTATGTAACTTTCATATATTATTTGGTATAAAATATAATTACTAATTTTAATATTAACTATTATATTATTCAATAAAAAATATAATTATTAATCAATTAACATAAAATATTATGGTTTTTGTCTTAATTAACCCAAAAAATGTAATGAAATATTTTCTTATTAATGAGATTAGGTGTATTAATGCCACATAAATAAAATTTATTAGGTTTTATTAATGATTTGCCACATAAGTAAAATTTATTAGGTAAAATTTATTGTTTAGCTAGCAATTATATATATATATATAGATATTGTACTCATTAAGAAAAATGTACTATTTTTTAAGTTGGACTATATATTTGGCTATATCTATTCCCAATTGATTAAAAAAGAAATAAGCAAATTATTGTTGTTTTTGTCATGTACAGTATTTTTATTTTTTATTTTTTAAACAATAATAAAAAATTTAGATTAAAATATTAAATATAAAAATAAAATAAAAAAATAACGATTGTATCTATTTTTGAGTTATTATTTAGGGAAATGTAATAAATTATAAAATTAATAATAAAAATATATATTATTATATATTATACATATAAAATAAATAAAAAATTATATATTAATTAAGCTGATTCGTACCTCACCGGTCTGATGCCCGTTAAACCTCACTTCCGATTCCAGAATTGTGTAGGGTGTAGCTGCCTTTCTCACTGTTCATCAATGGTCAATCAATTCTGAGAACATTTGAGCTTCGAAATCATCCTCCAGTCACCGTTTCTGAGTTGTTGTGGCAGAAACCGAAGAAGAGAAATCACAAGCCCTACTTATCTCGTGTACTGCGAATTGAAAGCAGAAAATGTCGGTTCAGGAGTATCTGGACAAGCATATGCTCTCTCGGAAAATAGAAGACGCCGTTAATGCTGCTGTTAGGGCAAAAACACAGGATCCTGTGCTCTTCATCTCGAATCACATGAAGAAGTCCGTTCCATCCGTCATCACAAACGTCAAAGCCAGGCAAATTCTGGATAGCAGAGGGATTCCCACTGTTGAAGTCGATTTGTACACCAATAAGGGAGTTTTTCGAGCTTCAGTACCCAGCGGAACATCAACTGGAATGTAAGCACTTTATATATATATATTTGCATTGTCCTCTTGTTTAGTATGGGGTTTGCTTGTTAGATTTGGGTTATTTGTTCTGTCGGTTGTGTACTTATTTGTGGAACCAGTTGCCAAAGGGGTATTAGACCGTGCAGTGATGATTAGTCAAGTTTCGTTGCGATAAGTTAATAGATTAAGATCGACAATTCTACTGAATCATGGGCAGATATGGACAGATCTGGTTAGAAGTTATCAAATAATTGAAATAGATGTAGCTACCTGAGGCCAACCGTTTTAGAATCAAAACAAGCTCCTATAGATGATTACTTTATAAGTTAAAGATTCAACAACAATTTTAGCTCAACTTGTCTATAACATGAGTAGTTAATATTGTGATAAGTGGAGTAGACATATTGTTCCTTTGGTGTATATAAGCATTTGAAATTGTATGCGCTCCCTGCAGCCATTATTTTTACTAAAATTATTAAATTTGAGCAAAGAGGTTTTAACGATCATTTAGATGATGGTGCAGAATAATGAATATGTGAGCAGTTATATCAAATGGCGGCGTAAGTATCGCGTGCCAATTTCTGCCAAACTGCCTTGCTAAATTTGTGAAGGATGGCGGTTGTGGCAGGCCTGGCGGCGCCACAGGCCGCCATGGAGGCCGTGGCCTCTATGGTGTGATTTTGGCTTGCCGCCATCTTCTGCCATCCGCCAGTGATAACATTGTACGTGAGTCATGGTGAACAATGAAATCTGTTCGGAAGTATTATGTTGCTCTTTGCTGTTTCTTACCTCATTTGCTCATGCTCATGAATTGTTGTTCTTCCAGTTTTTGTTCCTCAAACTGCAAGTAGTAACTGGTTCTTGATTTGATGCTTGCTTCTCTAGTTTTAGTTATAATTCGACTGTTGTTTTTGTAATCTTGTTCAAGTATCAGATGCAAGATGAAACTTTTATTTATTTATTTATTTATTTTTTGTGTCAGAGCTCTTCATGTTGGGGTATGCAAAGGTGCATGGTTTCACTTTGTGAATTGATTCCTGTAGTATCCTTTGCATCTTGTATTGAAGAATTGTTTGGAACTGCAGTTGTGGATTTGTATTCAAGGACTCCATAAAGTGACTTAGATCTGACATTGTTTAAATCATGAACATACTTGGACTCTTGGCATATTGGTTCGTCAGATCATCATGGTTTAGACGGGCTTGTTTATTTCCAGTCATGGTTTAGACGGGCTTGTTTATCTCCAGTTTTGTTATATGGAGTGAGGATGCATAAATCATCACATAGCCATGTATGAATTGATTGTGCGCTTTTTGATATGCAGGTACGAGGCCATTGAATTGAGAGATGGAGACAAGGGAACATATCTTGGTAATGGTGTCAGTAGAGCTGTTAAGAATGTTAATGAAAAAATTTCTGAAGCTTTAATTGGTATGGATCCAACTCTTCAAGTTCAAATTGATCAAGCCATGATAGACTTGGACAAGACAGAGAAGAAGGTAACTTAAAGTTTATCTTATTTCTTTATTTTCTTCTGCATATCTGCATGCTACCAGAAGGCTGTGTGGTTGCATTTTCAAAAAGAATTGTCTTTCTGCTTTAGTTATTTGGAAGGTCTGAAACACCCTCTGTCAGAAACACCATTCGTTTCCGTTTCTGGGGCTTGTAATGGAAGTTAAAACATTAAATCACACACTAGACTTAGATCCTACAGGTGCTATTTCGTTTACCTATGATCTTTAGTTTGTCTCATCCATCAAATTATGTTTTCTCCTCCAAGCACTTAACATAGATGTGGCATGCCCACATCAAATGTAAATTCCTAACAGTGTAATTTGATTCATTGGACATAAATGTGAAAGAGAAATCGTCTGTTTTATATGAAAACTAATATAATCTCAATAATTTTTCTTCTGGACACCATTCATTATGAGATAGTTATTTTCTTTTCATGCACATAAGTTATATACCAAATTTATTTATCTTTCTTCTGCCTTTATAGCTGACTTTTCTGTTTAACCAATTACAAACACATGTTTAGTGTGGTGTGAATATGTAATTCGGATAACGAAAGTAACCTGTACATTATCACACTCACTTTTATTGGATGTATGGCCATTTGCAAGATTTGCCATATTGGAATCCTGCTCAGTGATCCTTGTTTGCTTATTGATAGGGTGAACTTGGGGCAAATGCGATTTTAGCAGTCTCAGTGGCTGCTTGCAAAGCAGGGGCAGCAGAAAAGGAGGCACGATTATCAACTTATGTAGCAACTTTTCTCCAATTGACTCGTGTTGAGAACCTTGATAAAAGTATTTTTTGCAGGTTCCACTGTACAAACACATAGCTGATCTTGCTGGAAAAACAAATTATAGTCTTCCTGTCCCAGCTTTCACTCTCATAAGTGGTGGAAAACATGCTGGGAACAATTTGGCAATTCAGGTAAAGCACGTGTGATACTTCTCATAAATATCTGTTTATGCAATTCTAATTTGCCTTGCCTCATCTTATAACAGAGCCCAATTGATTAATTTCCTGTGAAGGGTATAAAAAACTCAATAGATGATATTGTGAGTAGTATCAATAATATATCTGTGTGATGGAAAACGTTCATTTTGTTGTTCATTCCCGAGGTGGAATACATGAACATAAAAATTACAATCTCATAATTTGTTCAAAAATCTGTTCTTCCACTCTCTTATAGCACTTGAGACCCCTGACCAACATAAAACTATCAGTTTGCGGGTTGCAACTCTTAAGTTTTGCATATTATTCTGTTATTACTACAACTTTCATGGTTACGATGAACCACATTGCATTTTTTTAGCTGTCTAATGTTCTGTATTTGAGAACAAATTGGACTAGCATCGTATTTCGCACTTTAATACAGAAAACATGCTAGTACTTTACTATATGTTTTCATGTTTAAGGATTGACAATGCCAGTTTGAACCCTGCTCTGCGCTGTTCAACTCTGAATTTAAAAATTTTAAGCATGGATGTTAATCTAGTGAGGCTTACTTATTAGTTAGTGGAGACTAGAGTGGAGGGATTATAGGAACCAAATAAACTGTGAGCTTCTAGATTCGAACCATGTAACAACACACTTTCAACGGGTGAGCGGTACCATTTGAGCTACATGCTTGTGTTATTTGCAAGCTTGAATTGTCTATATAACTTTGATTTAAAGAGCGTATGAATATGTTCAGGCTGAACTTGTGTTACTGTTGAGTGGATCTTGAATCTTTCTATGACAAAATTATCTCTAGCGNCCCCCCCCCCCCCCCCACCCACTAGGAGCACAGTGTTAGCCCCTTCATCTCTTTATGGTTTATGGATTAATGTTTGATAAATGATCGACTCAGGGAGACCTAATATGACAAGCATCGACAATGAACTGATTGGGTAGATTGTGAAAAATTCTTTATTATTTTTTATTTGCTAAGTTGAATATGTTCGCTTACTTATCCATTCAGTGGTTTTACTCCTATATTAGAGCTGGCCCTTCATTCTAGCATGTCATTAAAGTTATGGGGAAAGTACCCGATGATAACACACTTGAAGGTAGGGGAAAGTTACTACCATTAGTAAATGATAGATAATGAAAATGAAACCTGGATGGCATAAATGTATCCAAGTCTGGACTTAATTGGTTACCAACATGAAAATTATAGACTCATTAAGAATGACTATTTCCTAATATTTGTGCTGTGCAATGTAAACCTAAACTTGGAAGTGAATTGCCCCTCGTTATTTCGCCTACCTTTGAATGGAAAAAGATGGGCAGATGCTTGTGTGCTTTTGAATTGAAAGAAAAAGAGGTTGCGAATTGAACCTGGCAAAGTTTTTTGCATGTACTGCTACATGAAGATCTTCCTAGACTGACAGAACATAAGAACGGTGTTAACATTGTAAACTAATATAGGGAGCACGATTAAACAAATCAAGCATAAGAGGGACATATGACAGGGATTGAGGATGTGGAACTAGCTTACTACATCATTTCTAGGGTTTTTCGCTCTGTAAGCTTTCTGTAGGAGATATGTTAAATATACAACTTCGTTATATTTGGTATGAAACCGAATTTTCAGCAATGGCCAAACACTGGCTAGTACATTGCTGAGGGGAGGGCCTGTCATCCATAGAAGATAGATAGATTAGTTATGCTGGTCAACAAATAATTACCTTAAACAATATCAGCACCAACTCAATGGTGCAAGAACTTTGGTTATGCTTGTGATGAAAATGTATCTATCTACCTATTATATAATTAGACAACTCATTTCAAATATAGTAAGTCTCTTTGTGGGGTCCTATAAATGACTTTCCATTTTTGGAAAGTAATGTTCATGACAAATGCTGCTTTTTTTTGGCGCTTTTGGAAAGTCAGTTTATAGACACGTATGCATGCCATTCAATTTGGAAGATACGTGTGGCA